TCCATCCATCCATCCATCCATCCATCCATCCATATGAATAACAGAATAAAAGAGTTGGAAGGGACCTTGGAGGTCTTCTAGTCCAACCTCCTGCTCAAGTAGGAGACCCTACACTGTTTTAGACAAATGGCTGTCCAGTTTCTTCTTTCAAGCCTCCATTGCTGGAGCACCCACAACCTCTGTTTGCAATGTGGCTGCCTGGCAACATCTCCACAATTACAAGCTGCTAAATCTCGGAGGCAGGTGAATGTAAAAATATCGCAAGACGAGCAGAAACCAGAAAGGGAGGAAGGGGGAGGAAAAAAAATCTTATTTTTGATCCGTGAAACATCCTAGGGAGCTGGAAGGGATTTTTCCAATGAAGCCGGGCCTGGATTTAGAGGATCAAAAGAATCTCTCTTTGTCAGCTACCTTTACAGCACAAAATGCTCACCAGGCACAGAGGAAGGAGAGAAAGTGTGTGTGTTTTTCCCCCTCCTTTCCTGGATGAATGTGTCTTTGTTTTTTAATCATCTCCCTCGGAATTAAAGACGGGGTTTTATCTGCAGTTCTAACTATCCATCGAAGTCTGTACCTGCCCTATTTGGTTGCTGTCCCAAAACCAGACAGTTGTAGTGGTGCAAATGACAAACGCGATAATCCCTTTAGTCGCATTGTTTACGATGAGAAGAGCAAACAAAATGCTGGGATTCCGGAGACAAAAATCAGAATTCAGCCTCCTGAGAAAAAGCAAAAAGCTCTTTTATCCTTGGATTCTGTCCAGAGAGCTTTTCCTGGAGGACGGTGTTCATTTTGCTGAATCTTTTCTCCCCCAGTGCATCGACAAAGCCCGGGACCTTCTGGATGCTGAGCTGACAGCCATGGCAGGAGAGAGTTACAGCCGAGCTTACGGCGTGAGTATCTCCTCTCCTTCTCCAGCACGGCCCTCCTTCCTTGGGGATCCGTTCCGGGGCAGCGGTTGATGGTGCCCAACCTCTTTTCTGCAGGCCATGGTCTCCTGCCAAATGCTGTCCGAGCTGGAAGAAGTCATCCAGTACAAGCTTGTGCCGGAACGGCGGGAGATCCTCCGGCAGATCTGGTGGGAGAGGCTGCAGGTAAGGCTGACCCTGGAGGCGACAGCTGTGAAGAGGCAGGTCTCTCGAGAACAGGAGAAGAGCCCGCTCAGGCTCTTTAGACTAGAACTACAAGGCCCAGAATTCCCCTGGAGCCATTTCTGGACCACACAGGTCAACAATTAGAGGGTTTTTTTTTTAATTTTGAAGGGTTCTTAACATCTAATGTTTGGATTGGAAAATGCCCAAGCTAGGATTCTGCAGGACACTTTGCCACTGACGCCATTCTGAAGTGCCTGCCCAGTTTTATCACCTGCATCCAGGACTTCCAGGTCTTTATCTGAAGTTTGGTTTGCTCCCCATCCAGCCCCACAAGCAGAGTGCAGGATCCCAGCTTGGTCTTCCTTCCTTCCTTCCTTCCTTCCTT